TGTTACAAGAGAGTAACAAACACAAAATAGAAGGAGGGAAGATAAGGACGATAGATGTTTGATGGGAAAGAAGGAGCAAACCATACCAGAGCACCCGCCAACCACCCAAGAACAATCTATTTTACAAGGCCTTACATGCATAAAACATAACAAGTAATCAGAAACAGAAATCTTATTTCCAATCATAATATTGACTATTTGCAATCATAAGGAACATCCTGTAATGTTCATGTCAAATAAGTTTCATACAGTATTGAATAAAATTCTCCCAGCTGATCAGTAACGTACAAGAAAGTATATATACAGTATAACACAGATAGCTCGAATTTGGCGGTACCGGCCTCGGTAGCTCAAGGGATCTGTAATTCGAGGGATATCTTACAAAGAGAAAGAAGAAGAAGAAAAAACGGGACTGCTGGCACAGTTCGACGGATGCTTGATTTTGAGTCTTCTGTGTTCGACCTATCCATGTTATACTGTATATATATACATGTACTGACAAAACTGAGTAATGCTGTTAAGAATGTTTGATGACGAACATTTTGTGCTAATTATAGTGCGGTCAAAGATTCGTGGCGCTCAATAAAGACAGTGTCATGATTAGAAAAAAGTGACGGGCTTGCTTTTACTGGCAATATTGTCTAGCTGTAAACGTTTTAAAATCTGTAGAAACCACCCACTTGAATTTTTTATTTTTTATTTAATTATTAAGGAACTTTCTAGAATACAACAAACAGGTATTTACGAAAATATCAATCTGTTAAGACAAATAGATGCAAGTCATTGTGCAAAAGCAGGGAAGTCTATGTTTAATAGTTTAGGAAATATCTGACAATAAGTTGCACCACAAATTTTTGACCGCACTATAAGTCCTCAGACTGGTGAACCTGTGATTGTGAGAGGTGATGTATACGTAATATCATTTCAAATTTCACCATTGCAGCCCGAGTTCACCCCGCACCATGCTGATCAGACTTGTTTTACACATATATATGAGGCATGCTGACAAAATGATTTACCTCTCGCCATCCACAAATGAAGATATTGGCTTAGGTCAAATTTGTAGATTTTCTATTGATGCCATATTCTTGAACTATAACATGCCTTTTATTATTTCACACTTATAAATTGTAAAAACTTCTCCTATAAGCGTGATGTATCTATTTCTATAAGGCTTGAATCTGAGAAGTAACTCATTTTGTCAGCACGCTTCACATATTATATTTGGTACAGTCAAAGAGGTTATATATTTAGTACCAGAGTTCGTAGCAGTGATGTCCCCCACGTTAACGAACGGGGGCTGCGTGTGCCCACTCTGGGACGCTGAACCTCAAGGGCAAGACATGCGCAGTTCAACAGACGGGTGAGTACTTTTCAAGACTCATGTGGAGGCGTCTCGGCCGTCTTAGGAGGAAATCTACAAGCTTTCACTAAAATATGGGGGCAGGATGGTGTTTGACACAGTAAAGCTCGTGAGGAGCGGGACGGGGGCTCAGGTTGTTCATGTAAATGGGGGCACGCCGGCCATGCCCAAGAAGGTAACAA